ACTTTAGGTGCTTTGTTTGTTTTTGTGTGTCACCCATCTATCTTTTGATACATTGAGGTAAACTGATTGTTCATTGTTACTTGCTCATCACTCATGAGCTTTTAAGCAAAGAGTTGATTGTGTGTCAAGTTATTATTCTTAGTTAAAAGCTTTAAAGTAAAACTAAGTATTGTAATTGGAAGTGTGCTCTTCTGTTTTTGGTATTTGTCACTAAGGTGATTGTGGAAAGTGAGAGGGGGGTCTCATATCTAAAAGGTTTTTAGGTAAAAGTTGCACAAGGTAGTGATTAGGTGATAAGTTATAAACTATGTTTGTTTAGCTTTGAATTAATATTATCATAGTTAATTTTCTTCATGGCTTGGTTGCCTCCATAGTATGTGAGTTGCACCGAACTGAGTTAATAATTGATTGTATTTTTTACCTTTTGCAATTTATTTCTACATAATTATTGTTTTGGTAAATGTGTTTTTCTATCAGAAGATGATGTCATAACATTTGTCTTGACATTGTGTTTTGAAGTTGGGACATTAGTCTTGACATTTGTTTTTATAGTGCCAGAATTACAATTGGTATCAGAGCTGGCACCTTATTCTGTTTTTGGGTGAGCTCTAGGGAGAATAATTTCTGATTCTATGAATAAGGAAGGATGAAATTATGACAAACCACCTCTGTTAGATGGTGCAAATTATGACTATTGGAAGATTAGAAGGGTAGCCTTTTTGAAATCCATGGACAACAAATCTTGAAAGACTATGTTGAAAGGATGGAATCATCCTGTTGTCAAGGACAAAGATGATAATGAGTCTTTGAAGTTAAAAGAAGATTGGTCTAAGGAGGAAGATGAACTAGCTCTTGGAAGTTCCAAAGCCTTGAATGCTCTATTAAATGGAGTGGACAAGAATGTTTTTAGGTTAATAGATTCATGTGTTGTAGTTAAAGATGCCTGGGAAATCCTTAAGACAACTCATGAAGGTACATCTAAAGTTAAGATGTCCAGACTTTAACTTCTCACTACCAAATTTGAGAATCTAAAGAAGAACGATGATGAAAGCATTCAAGAATTTCACATGAATGTTCTTAAAATAGAAAATGCATCTAGTTCCTTGAGAAAGAAGGTGTCAGAAGAAAAGCTTGTTAGAAAAATTTTCATGTCTCTACCTAAGAGATTTGACATGAAGGTGATAGTCATTGAAGAAGCTCATGACATCAGCAACATGAGGATAGATAAACTTGTTGGGTCACTTCAAACATTTTAATTGGCTATTAATGATAAGTCTGATAAAAAGAACAAAAGCATAACTTTTGTATCCAATTCTGAAGATAAAGAGAGTCAGTTAGATTTGGACACTAGGGAAGGGTTGTCAAATACCATTATATTACTTAGAAAGCAATTTAATAGAATTCTGAAAAGAATGGACAGAAGAGGAAGACCTAATGTCAGGAACATCTCATCTGACATCAACAATGATGATGATATTCAGAAAAATACCAGAACTGATGAGAAGTCCAGTCAAAGTAAAAGGATTCAATATTTTAAGTGTGAAGGGTTTGGTCACATTAGGCTAGAATGTCCAATCTATCTCAAGAAACAGAAAAGGGGGATTTCCGCATCTTGGTCTGATGATAATAAGTCAGAAGATAATCATAACTCAGATATTGTCAAGCTTGTGACCGCTCTTGCTGGAAGATGGGCAGACGAGGTAGAATCTTATGATAAAAATGATCTCTATAAAGACATGGATGTGCCCTACAAGGAAACTATTGACAAATGTGAAGAAAGCCTTAAGACAGTAGAAGATCAGAAAAGGATCATAGCTGATTTGGAGAATGAGAAGAAGGAACTTCTATGTACTGTCTTCATCTACAAAATGAGGTAACTCTATTAAATTCCAAGCTTAATAACATGACAAATTATTTTAGAAGAATGAAAAATGGAGTTGATATGATGAAAGAGGCGGGAGATGCAGAGTTTAATCATTCATTTAATAATCAACAAAAGAAAAGATATGTAGAAAAGTTCTTTCCTTCTGAAAAGAAGAGAATGATCAACACGTCCAACCACATGTTATAACATCCTGACAGATTTAATGAAACTCCAACAAATTCCAATTATTTAACTTGGAGATGTCATTATTGTGGTGAGTATGACCATATAAAACCTTTTTGTTATAGGTTGTATGGAGTTCAAAAACGGTCAACTCCTTCAAAGGCTAATCAAGTGAGTAAAAAGAGAAGTACTAAATATAGATATGTTAACCTTATAACTCATACTTCTTTAAGAGATTGAACCAAAGAAGACTGGTATTTTGACAGTGGATGCTCTAGACACATGACAGGGGTTCAGAAGTTACTAGTAGACATCAAATCCCATCCCACAGGTTATGTCAGATTTGGTGATGGATTCAAAGGTAAAATCAAGGGAGTTGGAAAATTGCAGTATGATGGCTCTCCTAGTCTAGAAGATGTTCTTCTTGTAGAAGGACTAAATGCTAACTTTATCAGCATTAGTCAGTTGTGTGGCCAGTGATTGTTAGTCAATTTCTCAAAGTCATAATGTTTAGTCAAAGATGTTGTTTTTATGAAGGGTACAAGGTTTAAAGATAACTATTATCTGTGGGAACCTCAAATAAATACTTACTCTTCCATATGTTTAATAACCAAGGATAATGAAGTGAAGATATGGAACCAAAAGCTTGGACATCTTCATCTCAAAAGAATGAAGGAAATTATATCTGAAGGAGCTATTAGAGGAATGGTAGAACTCAAAATTGAAGAAGGCAAAGTCTGTGAGGAGTGTGAAATTAGGAAGCAAACCATGATATCACACCTAATGTTACAATATTAGACTACTTCCAAAATGATGGAACTTCTTCACATGGATTTAATGGGACCAATACAGGTAGAAAGCTTGGGTGGAAAAATGTTTGTCTAGGTGATTATAGATGACTTTTCCGGGTTTACTTGGGTGAACTTTCTTAGAGAAAAATCGGACACATTTGAAGTTTTCAAAAATCCGTGTCAAAGTATTCAAGAGGAAAATAATAGTGTGATTGTCAATGTTAGAAGTGATCATGAAAAGGAATTTGAGAGTGCTAAATTATCTGAATTTTGTGCTTCTAAGGATATCATTCATGGATTTTCTTTTTCCATCACTTCTAAGCAAGATGGAATTATTGAGTAAAAGACTAAGGCTATACAAGAATCAGTTAGAGTCATGTTTCATGCTAAGCAATTACCATTGCACTTTTCGGCTGAAGTCATGAATATTGCATGTTATATTCATAATAAAGTCACTTTGAGGGAAGACTCTTCAACCACTCTCTATGAGTTATGGAAAGGAATGAAGCCTATAGTCAAATACTTTCATGTTTTTGGGAGTAAATGATATGTCTTGACTAACAAAGATTAAAAGAATAAGATGGATACCATAAGTTAGGAAGGGATATTTCTGGGTTATTCTTCAAACAACAAGGCCTATAGAGTTTTTAACTCCATAACTGGAGTTACAATGGAATCCACAAGTGTGGTGATTGATGATTCAATTACTGAACAAGGGATGAATGTTGAAGACAATGATGGAACATCTTCTATGCAGACTGATGAGGTAGAAAAAGAAGTAACATGTAAGTCCACAAGTGTTTATCTAGATAACTCTGAAGTAAAGTCAGGTCTCTCTATTAGAATTCAGACAGAACAACTCAAGGAGATCATTACAAGACACTCTAATGAAGCATACCTCACATAATTCAATAAGGAAATATCAAATTCATGTCTTGTTTCTAAGCTTGAATCAAGGATGAGTCATATTATTCAAGAAAATAGGATCTTGAATTGCATCATTGGAACAAGAGGAAGTTTATCTAAACTGATAAGGATGAAACGAATGTTGAAGGAGTATAATGTCAAGCAAGAAGTCATGACATTACACTGTGCAAATATGTGTGTTATCAAATATCTCATTCAACATGGTTGGAATAAGAACCTTGATAGTCATAATCAACTAATCAAGAATCTTGGAAAGGTTGTTATTCTGAAGCATATGGACACTAAGGATCAACTGATTGTTATGTTTAATGAAGCTTTATATGAAAATCAATTTGAGAACATAAGCAGTGGGCTAGAAAGTTGCACTATTGAGAAGTTATAGCAATTACAGATATAGAGGAATGCAACAGTTACTGCATCTTTCCTCTATTCTATGAGGCATGATAAGCCTATACAAATTGCTATTGATAAAGGGTGCACTACAAGAAAAAGAGCTCTCAGCGACATGAATTAGTGACCTGATAAGCATGTGGCAAAAAAAAGCATTTGCGACATGTTTATCACGTCACTACAGCTTTTAAATATTAAAATAATAAGTCACAAGAGGAGTCAGATTTAAAAAAAAAATTGCGGCGTGTAAATCATGTTGCAACAAAATTGTTAAAATAAAAAATTAAAACGTTGTGGCTTTTTGAAGGGGGGAAATTTGAAATTTTCAAATAGCATGTTGCGACGTGTTTTTCACGTTGCAAACTTTTTAGGAGGAAACTGGCTGACATTGAAGTGATGTGTTCTGAACGGCCTGCAAGTTGACTGACTCAAATTATGACAGTTGGTGTTTGTGATATGATTTTCATGTGGCAAAGTTGCGACATGAAAATCACGTCACTACTTTAATTATGTATTTTCAATTTCTTTTCTTCCAAAAAATCACGTTACTTTAATTATGATTGTTGGTGTTTGTGACATGATTTTCACGTGGCAAAGTTGCGACGTGAAAATCACGTCACTACTTTAATTATATATTTTCAATTTTGTTTCTTTCAAAACTCATCCTCTTGTCTTCTCTCTTCTTCTCAAACCCATAACTTTCTCATTCTCTTCTTCCTCCACCCACCACCTTATTCATTCTCTTCTTCCTCCACCCAATTTTATTCAATCTTCAAAGGGTACAAATCTCTTTCTTATTTTTTTTTCTTCGTTTTAAATTAATAACTAATTTCTAATTATATATTATGATTTTCGTTGTAAGGTGTATTTTTTTTTTCAAACTTCAAAAATCCAACAAGTTTGATTCATGCTTCATAGAGGTATTTTTTGCAATTTAATTTTTTTTTATGTTTTCAGATTTTATATGTATTATTATTGGGTTGTTGGTTGTTGAATGTTAATATTTATTTAAAAATTGTTTTTATGTTATAATTTATATGTTATATTTTTATTATATATGAAATCCGAAAATATATATAAGAAAATAAAAACTATTTTATTATATATATATATATATATATATATATATATATATATATATATATATATATATATATATATATATATATATATATATATATATATATATATATATATATATATATATATATATATATATATATATATATATATATATATATATATATATATATATATATATATATATATATATATATATATATATATATATATATATATATATATATATATATATATATATATATATATATATATATATATATATAATAAAAACTGTTTTATAATAAAAATAGTATATATTTTATGTTACAATTTTTTAAAACAGAATATTAATATGTATGTAATAATTGTATGTAATATGTTATATGATTGTAATATATTTATATTATACGTTACTTTCTTTGTTCTTTTTTAAGTGTCATTTTAGCATAAAGCTCTTCAACCAAAATAGTGAATTATTACATTTATTTTTTCTATTATACTTTCATTTATTTCTCTTTCTAAATGAATTCAATCACAGACACACACTCTCTCTTTTTTCAATACTAATTAAAAAATTAATTAATTTTATGAAAAATATGAAGTGGTGTTATTGAAAACAAAAAAAAAAAGAATGAAGGGAGTATATGTTTGTTTTAAAATAGTATTAATTTATTTAGTATTATTTGTTTCATAATTTAGTTTAAATTTATTTAGTATAAATTAATATATTAATAGTTTTAGAATTTATTTTTAAAAAAATTGAATTAGTGACGTGATTTTCATGTCACAAATTTGTGACATGATAATCACGTCGCAAATTATTGATTTCAGATTATTATTAGTGACGTGATTTTCATGTCACAAATTTGTAACATGAAAATCATGTGGCAAAAGTCCTGCCATTTCTGACCCAACATCTACTCTGTTTGCTCCTACAGCAATATTGTGGATAACTGTGAAAAATGTTGCGACGTAATTTTCACGTCACAACTTTGTGACATGAAAATTACATCACAATTAAGTTGCCACACGCTCCACTGTGGCGTATTCAGTTACGTCACAAAAAAATTGTTGTTAGGTGATTTTAGCTGTTGTGACGTGATAATCACGTCGCAAATGAGCTTGTTTTTTGTAGTGGTGGAACAAAATATCTTTACAAGGACTAAATGTTGGTTTGAAGGAGACATGTTCTAAGGTGGTGGCAAGGAAGTTCAGTGTCAACACTTCTAAAACTGGTGACAACAACAAGAGGTGCAGAAAGATCTTTGAGAAGGGCAAGAGGTAGAATACCATCTGAAGATGATCAAGATTGTGTATTTCCATCTGAATTTTGTTTGTTTCCATTGCTATTTTGTGCTTCCATTTGTGTTTATGCTTGTATGCATTATGTGCTTATAACTTTTATTGTATATTTACTCTATTCTTTGTCAATTTTTGGCTAAAAAGGGAGAGTAAAGTGTTGGTGTGTTTAGTTTGTCCTGATGTCATGTCACATGTCCTAACATGTTGACTAACATTGTGATAGGACTGTACTACTGCTAGGGGAAGAGTAGTCTATTATGGTTGCTTGTTGTGTGTAACTATTTAGGGGGAACATGATTGTCTGTCATGCTTGTTGGTGCTTCTATTGCTGCTACTGCTGATGATGGTATGTGTGCATGATGTCTTATCAGATGTTCTAACATCTTGCTTGATGTGTCTTATAGAGAATCCTGATGTGAGGCTTATTCTTCTGTTGTTGCATGTGCTTCTGATGTGTGAACTTGGATAGTTCATATTTTGTAATTTGGATTTTTCTGGTGATTTAGGTTTTCCTTTGAGGGGGAGTATTGGTTATGTGTGACAGAAGGAGTAATGGTCATGTCTGAAGTTGTTGATTGTTATTCTTAGCACTGGCCTCTTCTGTTATGTTGGAGTCTCTTGTGATATGTTGGATTTGTGTTGTGTGATGTCAGACCACATGCCTTAACATCTGACTTCTGGAATAATTGAAGAAGAGTTGTGTGCGAGGCTAGGTCTATCTGTAACTGCAATGTATCTCTGATATATTTTTATGTTTGCAGTTTTGTACAAAGCTTACATGTATTTCATATAGCTTGTGTTTTATAATTGTGGTTTTATTCCTCTCTCTAGTTTGATTGTGCTAAGGTTGTTTTAGCCCAAATTTATCAAAGGGGTGATTGTTAGATCCATGGTTTAATGATTGGTATAAATTTTGCTAAAACATAGTTCATAGAAGATGTTGAGCAAGATGTCATAACATCTTGACCAACTGGTACAACAAAGTCGGTTGTTACTATTTTTTATAGATGTTCTGACAGATATTGTGACATGTTATTCCAGAACATCATAACAGCACAGTTGTTTAAATCCTTGAAAATTTTATTGTAAAATATAAGATTCTGAATTATTATAGTTCTCATACAGGCACAGATAAGCAAGGATATTTTAGGAACAATGCATATTTGATTTGGTTTCATAAAAAAATCTTGGTGACTTTTTAGGAAACTTTGAAGATTTGTTCCTATTTTTGTGAAGAAGATCTTGCAGATGATTTATAATTGGAAGATTGGATTTGATTGAAGATTTCAAACTCATACTGCAAGAGTCAATATATAAGGACTTTCTAAACTTAAAATTAGCAAGCATTCACATCAAAAAACCTTGGGTGCCTAATATAAGAGTTTAGGGTTTTGAGAGTACTTTAGGCGCTTTGTTTGTTTTTGTGTGTCACCCATGTATCTTTTGATACATTGAGGTAGATTGATTGTTCATTGTTACTTGCCCATCACTCATGTGCTTTTAAGCAAAAAGTTGATTATGTGTTAAGTTATTGTTCTTAGTTAAAAACTTTTAAGCAAAACTAAATATTATAATTGGAAGTGTGTTCTTCCGTTTTTGGTATTTTCCACTAAGGTGGTTTTAGAAAGTTAGAGGGGGGTCTCATATCTAGAATGTTTCTAGGTAGAAGTTGCACAAGATAGTGATTAAGTGATAAGTTGTAAATTAGGGTTGTTTAGCTTTGAACTATTACTATTATAGTGAATTTCCTTCCTGGCTTGGTTGTCCCCAGAGTATGTGAGTTGCACTGAACTGGGTTAACAATTGATTGTATCTTTTACCTTATGCAGTTTATTTCTACATAATTATTGTTTTGGTAAAAGTGTTTTTCTGTCAGCAGATGATGCCATAACATCTGTCTTGACATTTTGTTTTGGTATTAAGATATTAGTTTTGTCTTCTGTTTTTATAGTGCTAGAATTACAATTTTACTGTAACAAACTTGTTTAAATACACAAAATTAAACTGCCATGTAGGCACAATAAAAAATTAAACAGTCTTACTAATTATTGCTTCTGACTAACAGCCTAAAAAACTTTTGACTTTAACAACAACTTTTGAATATTAGTTACTTCTAAAAGTTCCTACCTCTCCTACTGGTTGTCTCCATCATGATGTAAGGGTCTGCATTGACATCTAAGGAGAGAGAATATGTGTTGATAACCAATGTCAATTAGAGCGTATTATTGACCATTTCTCCTCACTCTTCGTTGTTATGTGCATCGACTCATCTATTCATCAAGACATGGGCATTTCTGCCTATGTGATCGAGGTGACTTCACTTTGAAGACCTCCAGCAGTTTGATCAATAACCTGTTTTGAAATTTTAAAATAAGGGGAATCAGTTTATTCAACCCTCTTACACACTTTTGACCACCATATTAAACCAACATGATCAACTTCCATCTTTCATTTTTGGAGATGGCATTGTTGTTTTTTCTGCGTTTATCCATTTAAAGGGTCATTGAAATGACCACGTTGCATTTACTAGAGTTGGAGTGGTGGATCTGGTGGTTAAGTTGATCTGGCTAGACCCATATAAAAATGAGTGCAAAGTAGAAAAGACCAACGAGGATCATGCATAATTCAACTTTCTGAAATGAATGTTTGTGAGACACATTACAACTGCAAGGACCGCTGACAAGGTTGATGACGAAATTGCGAGACACCTATAAATATAGCATGCTTTCATAACGTACCTCCATATTTGGGGACTTGATCGTTTTCACAGAAAAAAGACATACATCTACACTCACATGGTGTATTTAAACTTTGAAGTAATTCGTGGATCTAGAGATTGTCGATGATTATGCTTGGGCCACTCATGTGTTGGCTTACTTATATAGTTACTTCATAACAAGGAAGCTAATAGCTACTTCAAGTAACATATTATTGGAATTGTTTAATTTAGTTATTAAAAATATTTTATTCAATATTGTTTACAGGTTAATATACATTGATGTAAGCATGGATCTATCGTAATCTTCCCAATTTTGAAAGACAAGAGTATGAGCAAAAGTGCATAGAGATTCAGACTCATGCTAACTATTGATCAAGTGATATCAAATATAAGAGGGTGTTGATTTATTACAGAGGGAGTAGGTCTCTATCACCTCGTTCATACAAGTTTCTAAACCTCCATGAATCATTAGGCTAGCTTACTCTTTACATAACCTTAAAACTCTCTGACTTTGCTAGATAAGCCTCATTTTGATTCGCCTAGCAAATTGCCTTAATATCTTGATTTATTTCCTAAACACACAAAAGTGTTACATGAAAGTATTACTAACTTAATTTAAACATTATTACTTCAAATACATACATAAATTCTTGATTTCCTGAAAAATAATTAATTAATTATATTATAAAATTTTACTCATTTTAGACACCTATTAATACACTAAAACCAAGAGTCTTGGGAGGAAAAAATCATTTAAAAATATTTCATCTTCTTATTAAGACTTCTTTTGCCTAATAAACTTTTAAATAATACTTAAAATGAAAAGCTATTTTGAGTAACATCTCATAAAATCATTTAAAACTATATTTTAATAAAATATATCATTTAAACATCTCATATCATTTTAAATAAATCATTGAAGCTGACATTTGAAGCTTCGGAAAATTGTGGGGAAAAGGGTTAATACACAGATAGTGATTTGTGTCAGTGTTACCAAACTCACAATTAGTGTGTAACTTCGAATCAATCAAAATGCAAGGGTTATTCATAGGAAAAGAAAATGAATAAAGTAGAAAAATTAAAAGTAGAGATGAACGAACTTGGATCATCTCCTTTATTTTTCTCTCAATTTTCCTCCTCCTCTTTATCTCTCTCTTAATTTCACTCTCATTTATCATTTAAAAACAAAAATAGAATCAAGAGAGAATAAAATTGAGAGATAGAGATGATGGAGAGAAAAATAAAAGGAGAGGATCTAAAGTCAGAGACGAACATATCTTTAGAATAGATGTCAGAGTTATGATATATCATGTTAAAAAGTTTGGTCGAATTCAAAACAATAAAGTGGAGAAAAATGAAGTTAAGTTAGAAAAGCAATGTTGTAATGCACTGTCGTCAAGAACAAACCAAAACTATGAGAAATATTGAGTCTCTAGAACAAATACAAGAAATCATATTAGGTTTTCATATATATATATATATATATATATATATATATATATATATATATATATATATATATATATATATATATATATATATATAGAGAGAGAGAGAGAGAGAGAGAGAGAGAGAGAGAAAAGAAGAAGAAGAAAATCAGAATTGGTTATAACTGTATTACTATTCACTTACTCAATAATGGTTCAAAATTACAAGTGAATAACAACAACCAACCTCTCTCAACAACCCAAGAGAACTAGTCTATTTATAAACTACAAGCTAACTTAAACAATTGAGATAAACAAACATGCCCAAATTGATATGCTAACAAACCTAGTATTTCAACTACTGCATGATTGAGCGTACTTTGACTACAACATGCAGGACTTCGACAACATGTTTAATCTTTGCCGAACCAAGAAGCTATCCTTGTCGAGACTAGATATTGATCCAAAATCTCACAAATCTGCACCTAGGAACAAACTCTACAACATCAAAGGAACAAACTAGCTTTCTTCATGCAACTTTATCAACTACATACAGTAGAAAAATTTACAACTTGACAATGTCTTGGTGATCATATCAGCAACATTATCTTCAATCAAAATCTTCAGCACTTGGACTTCTCCACACTCGATTATTTCTCTGACAAAATGTAGCCTCACAACGATATGCTTGGTTCACTCATGATAGGCTGAATTCTTCGATGGATGTATTGTATTTTGGCCGTCACATTTAACAATGATAGCTCGACCTTGAAGTTTCATCTCCTTAACAAAACCTTCAAGCCACAATGTTTCTTTTACAACATCATTGAGGGCAATATATTTCGCTTCAGTGGTTGATAAAGCCACAACCCTATAATGTGTTATTTTCCAACTAATTGTTGTGTCAAACATAGTGAACACATATCCAGAAATAGATTTCTTGAAATCTATACAACCTTCATAATCATAGTCGACATATCCTTTGATTTCTACTTTACTATCACCATCACAAGCTCCACCATAAATCAGGACTCTGTCAGAGACCCATTTATGTACTTTAGAATCCACTTCAATGCTTGCTAGTGTGCCTTTCCAAGATTGGTCATATACCTACTACAAGGCTTACTGCAGATGATAGGTTTGGCTGTGTATAGACCATAACATACAATAAATACCTTATTATACTAGCATATGGAATGTTATTCATATAGGTTCTTTCGACTTCAGTACTAAGACTTTGAGTTATACTTAGCTTGAACTGAGGATTAGTCAGTGTTACACCGGACTTTAAATTCGACATACCAAACTTGTCGAGAATCTTCCTCAGATATGTCTCTTGAGATAAGCATAATCTTGACTGCTTTTTATCTCTCTCGATGTCAATTCCAAGAATTCTGGAGGCAACTCCCAGATCCTTCATATCGAACTCCTTATCAAATTAATCTTCCACCTTCACTACATCCTCGACACGTTGCTTGCTATGAGGATGTCATCCACATAAAGCAACAAAATAACAAGTGAATTTTCAGGTCAAAATTTGAAGTAAACACAGTGATCCAAATGACTTCTAGTGAAACCTATGTGTTCCATGAACTTATCGAATCTCATATTTCATTGTTGAGGAGATTGTTTCAGGCCATACAAAGACCTATTCAGCTTTCATACATAATCATCCTTGCCCTTTTCTTCATACCTTTAAGGTTATTTCATGAGGTTGTTTCATCTATATCACCATACACAAGAAAGTGGTCTTCACGTCCATTTGTTCAAGTTCTAGGTCGAACTTCGCCACCACGCCTAACAACATTCTAATGGATTTATGTTTTACAATAGGTGAGAACACATCATTGAAGTCGAATCCTTCTCTCTGAGTGAACTCCCTCGCTATTAACCTTGCCTTGTATCTCTTTGACATCTCTCCTTCGATTCCTTCCTTAACCTTGAAAATCCATTTACAGTTGACTAACATGGCCCCTGCAGGTTTCTTGATCAGCTCCTAAGTGTGGCTATCATGAAGAGATTTCATCTCATCATCCATGGCCTTCAATCATTCAGTCTTATTTCGAATCCTCATAGCTTCCTTGTAGTCTCTAGGATCTTCATCAAGAACCTCATTTGCAGAGATTAAGGCAAACATTGTGAGATGTGCATAACCAAGTCTCTAAGGTGGCTTGATGACTCTTCTCGACCTGTGTCTAGCCAGCAGGTAGTCATTATCAGTCTCCTCATCTTCGTCAGCAACTTGGACTTCTTCTTCGACTTCATGCAGGTTATGCAATTCATCATCACTATACTCCACTTCAACAGGAATCTCTTCCTGTTCCAGCTTCTCTTCTGAGATTTCTGTATTTCGACCAACATCATTAGTTTTTTTAACGCCATTTTTGTTTCATTGAAAACTACATCTCGACTTGTGATACACCTCATGTGACCTGCCTCTAGTCACCATAGTCTATAAGCTTTGACTCCTTCTAGGTACCCCATGAACATAGGTTCGACCTTGTCTTGCCTAATGTGAGCATATGCTATACAACCTAATACTTTAAGTCTGTCAAGATTAGGAGGATGTCCTGACCAGACTTCTTCAAGTGTCTTCATCCCTAAGGCAGTCGAGGAATATCTATTTATCAAATATGTTGTTGTCGAAACAACCTCAGCCCAAAATACATCCTTCCATCCAGCACTGACCAACACGCACCTCACTCTTTCTAGAATGGTTCGATTAAACCTTTTGACCAAACCATTTTATTGGGTAGTACTTGCAGTAGTTTTATGCCTTGTAATACCATACACAGCACAATAGTTATCGAAAGCCTCATTGCAAAATTCAAGATCATTGTCGATTTTCAACCTCTTGACCTTCCTGCCAGTTTGATTTTCGACCAGGGAGTTCCAAATTTTGAAATTTTCAAAAGTTTTATCCTTAGCTTTCTAAATGAATACCCATAACTTTCGTGAGTAATCATCAACTATGGATAGAAAATATCTAGTAGTTGAGTGTGAGGGATTCCTAGCAGGCCCCCAAAGATCAACATGAATATAGTCAAGGGATCCACGTGTTCTTTATTTACCTTTGTTAAATTTCACCTTACAGGATTTACCAAATACACGAGGTTCATAGAAGTACATTTTTTCGACCTTGTCACCACATGACATATTTTGTTTCAAAAATTTGACCAGACCTCTTTCACTGACATAGCCAAGTCTCTTGTGTCATAGCTCAACCTCCGACACAGGTTTGTGGATGCCACATCTGCCAAACCACATAGAACCTCGACCTCAAGGGTATACATGCCTTTCCTTTTTGATGCCTCTCAAGAGTTCCTTCGACCCCTTCATTACCCTTAGGATATCTTACTCTCCTTTGAAAACATATCATTTCTTGTCGAATTCACCAAGATAAATCAAATTTATCTTCATATTAGGTGCATACCTGACACCATTCAATAACTTTATTGACTCGTTGTGGAGCTTGAATCTTACATATCCAATTCGTTCAATTTAGCGGCTTTGTTGTTTCCCAACAACACTGATCCGCCATCTTGATCACATAATTCCTCAAACACATCTTTGTTTGGAGTCATATAACAAGTGCAACATGAATCCATGATACATTCCTTGCGAAAATTGGTGCTCGAAACTACCAGGACATCTGATGATTCATAATCATCTTGCACAATAGTTGCATTACCATTATCCTTACCACCATGATTATTTTGTCGATCAGGGGACACCTTTCTTGTGTGACCCTCTTTCTTATAGTGATAACCCATAATTGCATGAGTATCACGGCTGTAATATTTTTTCTAAACTTTACCCTTCTTCTTCTTCTTCTCAAATCTGCCATCTTTCTTTAAGAATTTCCCCTTAACGGACGAACCTTCACCAGCACACGATGACCTATGCTTCTTTCGTTCAGTGAAATCCTTAGAGTACAAGGCTGGTTGTACTTCTTCAAAGGTTGGGGACTCTCCATACAAGAGAATTTCTTTGAAGTGAGCATGAGACTTAGGTAAAGAACACAACAATAACAGTGTTTGATATTCATCACCGATACTAACCTCAACATTCTCCAGATCAAGAATCAACTTGTTGAATATATCCAACTGCTCAACCAAGACTTTGTTTTCACTCATCTTGAATGAATACAAAGCATGTTTCATGTACAAACGATTTACCAAGGATTTAGTCATATACAACCCTTCGAGTTTTCTCCACACATCTGTTGCAGTTTTCTTCTTTGAAACCTGCCTCAGAACCTTATCACCAAGGCTCAAAATGATTGCAATGTGGATTTTCTCCAACATCGTCGTTTTCTCCTTTTCCGTTAGGGCAACATCCATGGTTGTGACTCCCTTCAACGCTCCTAGCAAGCCCTATTGAACAAGAAGGGCTCACATCTTCAAACACAATTATCCAAAATTATTAATTCTAATGAATTTCTCAATCACAAACTTCATTGACAACATCTTCTCTTTCACGCTCACTGCACCAGTTTGTTGTAACAGAGTGTCGTCAAGAACACATCAAAACTATGAGAAAGATTGAGTTTCTTGAACAAACACAAACAACCATATTTGAGAGAGAGGGAGGGAGAGAGAGAAGAAGAAGAATTACAAGAAAATGGGGATTGATTATAATTATTTTACTATTCACTTACTCAATAAGGGTTCAAAGATTACAAGTGAATAACAACAACCATCATCTATCAACAACCTGAAAGAACTAATTTATTTATAGACTACTAAACTAACTTAAACAATTTGGCCAAACAATCATACACACTTTGATATGCGAACAAACCTAATTTTTCGACTACTACATGTTTAAGCGTACTTCAATGTCAGCATGTGAACATATTTCGACAACATGCTTAATCTCTATCAAACCAATAAACCATCCTTGTCGAGATTAGATTCAATCCAAAATCTCACATGCAATAATGAAGTTAACTTGACAAAAAAGAATAATGAGAAGTTAATGACAAAAAAATATTGAAGTTTTCATGGCAAAAAAAAAAATTTAATTACAAATAAATGTATGATGATAAATTTATAGTGATCATAAGGTAACTAATTAATATGACCAACAAACAACCTTTTCAACAAAAAAAAAAACATTTAACATACACTTAGGGGTGGCAAATGAGCATGCCCGCCCCGTTTAGGACTGCCCCGTAAAAGCCCGCAAAAAAACGGGACGGGGCAGACATAATTGAGTTAAGGATGAGGGCCTAAAACCTAGGTCCGTCCCGCAAAAAAGTAAATACGAGGCGGAAAAAGCCTGCGGGCACCGCACCTTTTAGACCTAAAAATGTAAAATTTTATGCTAATAATCATACCCGCAAAAACCCACGAAGAAAACGGGGCGGAGCAGGGCTGACACATTAAAATATGAGGGCTTAAATTCTTAGTCCACGCTGCACTAAAGTGCAAGTAAAACGGACATGCCCAACAGATTGGACCCGTTTTGCCACTCTTAATAATCACTTAATCACATACATGTATCTAATTCATAACTGTATCTAATTTTTAATTTAACAACCCTACACATATTAATCACATACACTTAATACTTAAGTGCAAATGAGATTGGATTTAATTTTGCAAATGTCAACTACCACACAATGTATATCATTAGAAAATGGTTGTTAAGTTGAACGCCAACATTAAGGTTCAAACCCTAACTCTCACATATGTGTATGTGAGTTTCTAATGGTTATTACCACTCAATGTATGAACAAACATTTTTAACCCTTAGATCTATATGTGTTTAGTAAAAATGCAAATAAATACCTTCCCAGAATTGCAATTGCAAGAGTCAATAATGAATTATTAAAAAAAGAGTAAAAGACTCAATAAGGAAGCTCCTTCTTAACTCAAATAAGAACATAACACAAATATTAGAGCCAAAGTATAAGCAACAAATTCAGTTGTGTCCCAATTTCTTTCATTACAATTGAGAAATGCATACTAAAAATCAAACCATTTGCATAAACATGAATCTACTCAAATTTCTTTAGATTTCCCTTGGGGATTTTGCTAAGCAAACCAGAATCCACCTTCCTATACTGATTTTGCATCTGATCAAATACCTTGTACACGAAGTTATCGATCTGATCGTCATACCTTTCATAGAGAACCGGAAGCGTGTGTGCAGCAACAAAACCTTGAAGACAACATAAGAAATTTATAGCAATCATGTTCAAGTATGTATGACAAAAAAAAAACATTGATTAGAAAACATCACCGTCGAACTTCTTAAAGGAGGAAGATCTCTCACCGATATAGATGACGGTCAAGAAGTTGCACCAGCCACCAATCACAGCACCAGCCCATAAGCTTACTATAACCTGCATATGTTTTAAGCATTATCGCAAATTTAATCAATGTATTTTGTTTTTTAACTTCAAAACTATTGTTTAAACTTTAAAGCATGAATATGAATTGTAAAAGACAATACCAAAGTAAGAATGCATCTAGAAAACCTACAAGAATAAATTGCTTCAAGTTTCCTCCACATGAAACATCTTGAAGAACCCTCAAACCACGGTTAATCTCAGCACTAACCGCAGTTGCAATATTTACAAAGAAATCTTCCGGGAGAACCAGACGAGGAACTTTAGACGTCCTCCTGTCACCACATAGAAAAAAGCATTGTTAAAGCTGTAAAATTGTGTAATACGTTTAGATTAAAATCAGAAAACAAAAGGTTAAAAAAAAAATCATAGATGCTTGGAAAACCTGTTAAACACGCCAGAAGCATTTGTCCAAAGAAACTGTACAGACATGACAAGAACAAGACCAAGGAAAAGAAGAGATAGGAAATTATAATTAAGCCATTCAAAAAGCACCCAGATAGCCGTTGCAGCGGTTAAAACGCTAGCAGAGATCTTCTTGTTCCTCCATAACAAGACATCAGCAGCTATGTCATTCAAAGAGGAAAAAAGACTTAAAATCTGAAGCCAATATGGTAGACTTTACATGAAATTCGCTAGAAATGACAATGCCATACATTTTCCACCGCCTAAAATATGGTGCACGGGTTTCTCACGTCCAAACAATCTATTGAACTGGGAGGTCATTGAGTTTGCCGTCACATCTTGATAGAATGATGCAGATTTTTGCTTCTCGGCAAGTGTTTCCACAAAATTGTTGAGAAGCTTTTCGGCACTAATTTTGTCAGACATTTTTCCTGTAAATCTAATAATAAGAAGAACACCATAAGTGTTGTTATGTAATGGCTATGTCTAACAACATTGCAAACATCAATCACCATTTATGAAAAAAATCAACAAACATAATGTCAATGTAAGGGATTCAAGTTTGTTTTTTTCCAAAACCATGACATAAGAGAAGATTTTATAACTAACTCAAGTCAACATTCACAAAGTAAGACAAAAAGTTACTCTCTTTTCTTTGGATGAACGACCCCATCAACGAAAGCCTACTACATAATAATATATTTCTCAATGAGAGCCTACTATAGGCTTTCACTCGTTCCAAATAACTTCACTTGAACAAAAGAGAACTCAAACTTAAATATGAAAACCAATGACTTTTGTATGAAAGCCTGTTATAGGCTTTCACTTGTTCCAAATACACTCACTTGAATAAAAGAGAACTCAAACTTAAATATGAAAATCAGTGAGTTTTGTAATTGGCTTCACAAAAAATGTCTTCGAAGTTCAAATGCCAACTCAATAGAAGTAAAAACGTCTATATTTTGCCAAAATTATGTCCATTATGATTAAGTCAACACTCAACACACAATCACATACACCACAGGTTGGTCTTCACGATAAGAGAGGACAAAATGTAAAACAGGTATAACATGAAGGAATTAGTGTCAGAAACAGAAACTTAATCAAATCTACATGCTTAATCAATATTTTAACTTAACTTTCATGACACTGATGTTTTAATGTTTTCGTGCTGTCAATTTTCAAGGAAAAAACCATAACCGAGAACAACAAAATAAAACTCCAATAACTTGCCCCTGGTCAAAAGCTCAAAGCAACATTCACACTCAAGGTTCCAAAAACATGTCACCTAGTCAAAAGCTAAAGACATAATTCACACTCAAGGTTTAGATATCGCTCTGCAACCGCAATTATGGTCACGATGTCAAAGTTTTCTATCTCTCCGACTAAATTGAGACTTCATTGACCATATTTGACCACAATTTTCCTAAATATCAAGGATCATGAACACAATTTAAACCTTGTTCACATTTGCATTTTATTTATACCCAAGAGAGAATGGAAAGTCAATTCAACCATGTAGAAAAACACTTTAGCAGGTCAAAACATCACAAAACACCCAAAATTGAAAAATTATAAATAAAAAAAAAAAATACTACCACCAATAATAACAATAATAATACTAAAAAAATCGATCTCTACTCTAAAAGCAAAGAACCAACCAAGAAAAAAAAAATCTTTTCAAAATAAAATAAAATTGAAAAGCAAAAAAGCAAAAGGGGTTTCACAGAAAGTTGATGTTTTTATCTCTTATCTATCTAAATTCAGAGGCTTAAGGAGCTGCATTTGACAATTGACATACAATGGCATACATAGATCGTTAAACAAAGAAATTCGAACTCAATTTCCATTCTACAAACACTGCAAAAACCTAACTGAACAGTTTTTTCAGATAATTCAACAACACGTAGTATAGAAGAAATTGACAAAAAGTAAATTGAAGAGATGAATTGAGAGAATACGTAAAGTAAGAAGCGTGAAAAGATGGGAAAATGTGAAAGAAGATGAAGTGAATGGGTTTGAAGATCGAACCAGAAAGAAGAGAGTGAAGTAGAAGTAGAAGCCAAGTATTAGTTGCAAAGAAGTGAACTGAAGAGAGAAAGGAAAGATTGTTTAGGACAAAAGGGTGTGTGTGGGGCAATAACATGTGTTTTAGAAAATAAATAAAAATGGAACATTTATGGTATTTATTAGGGGAAAAAGTTTGAATTTATTTATTTATTTTAGTGTAGTGTTTGTTGTCGATTTTTTTTTCAATAATCAGATTTTAAAAAAAAATACATAAATTATGTTTCGAATAAAATTTCGTAAATAATCATGTTTTAGAAAACGTTAACATGTAGTAGATAAGTGAGATGATGAATGATATACTATAGGGTTGCTTCCGCCAAAGTATAATGATTGTTACTATTTAGGCTTTTAAACCACTCACTAAGTAAGGTAGGAAGTTATTATCTTTTGCTTAATTGTAGTAACTATAAATGGTGGTATGTTCTCACTTCAAGCTTTGTAATATGAACAGACTCAAGTATCTACTATGATGTTGTTGAATAAGTTGGAATCAATAATATTAAAATTAACATCCTTGCAAAATATAATTTACTTTGAAGACGATAGCAAGGAAAAACATGTTTTTCCAGAAGTTTTGAGCAACTATATAATTTTATCTTTTGGTGAAGTTGAGAAACTTGGTAAAGAAAGTCTTGTCGAACCAAGTTTGCCTTCCAAGAACGTTGTGGCACTTGTCATGTATACAAGTGGCAGTACAGGTCAACAAAAGGATTGTTACTTCTTCATGTTTTGTTACTTCTTCAAGTTGAATTAAATGTTTTCCTTTGATTTGATAAGCTAATAACTTTTAATTATCGTTTAGGGTGTCATGATTACGCACGTGAACATTGTAGCTACTACAGCAGCTGTTATGACAGTAATTCCAAAGCTGTTATGGTAGTGATTCCAAAATTGTTATGACAGTGATTCCAAAATTGTTATGACAGTGATTATTGTTGGTGCAAGGTGATGAAATTGAGGAAGAAGAGATGAAATATAGAATGATAAAGACGACTTCTAATGATTGGTAAAGGAATTGAATAATAATTAATGAGACATAGGTACACCTATTTATACACAAAGATAGCAAAGATAAAAATGTCACATAGGCCCTAAAAGAGGATAAACTTTAATAGCTAAGTTTTTCTCTAAATATAGCAAATACTAAATTACCCTTTAATATCATCCCTTAATTTAGTATCTATCAGAAACTAACAACACCAATTTCATTCCTCAAATGAAGAAATTAGTCTGTTTTGATTGCCTTCGTCAGAACATCTGTCAGGTATTTCTGGGTGCTACAGTGCAGAACTTCTAACACTCCTTTATGCACTTGACTTCTCAAAAAGTGATACTTCCTCTCAATATACTTGCTTCTTCCATGCAACACTGGATTCTTGGCAATATTGATTACATACTTGTTATCAATCAACAGCTTCAGAGGTTTCTCTATCTCAATCTTCAAATCCTCCAGAAGATTCAGAAGCCAAACAACTTGACATACAGCTACAAGACCTGCAATGTACTCAGCTTCACACGTTGACAGAGCCACAACAGGTTGTTTCTTGGAACTCCAGGAAATAGGACCTCCCAGAAACTTGAACAAGTAACCAAAAGTACTTCTTCTGTCAACTTTATCTCCACACCAGTCAGAATCAGAATAACTCACTAATTCTGGTTTTGTCTTTCTTCCAAAAGGAAATAACACTCCATATTTCAGAGTTCCCTTGATATACCTCAAAATCATGACAGCAGCTTGGTAATGAGATCACTTTGGTTTACTCATGAATCTGCTAACCATTCCAATTGTATAACAAATGTCAGGTCTGGTATTGCACAAATACCTAAGAGAACCAACCAACTGTTTGAAGGTCGTAGCATCCACATAATCACCATCAGAATTAGAATCCAATTTATGATTGGTTTCTGATGGTGTCACAACAACTTTACAATTCTGCAGCTTAAATCTCTTCAGAAGTTCAAGTTCATACTTCAGCTGATGTACAATAATACCCTTCTTTGAGTACAGAATCTCCATTCCTAGAAAATATACCATATTTCCCAGATCTGTCATCTCAAATTCATTCATCAGAACTTATTTGAACTTGATTATATCTTCTATACAACTTCCTGTTGGCAATATATCATCAACATGTAGACACACCAGAATCATATTGTCACCAGAATGCTGCACATACACGCCATATTCCATCTCACATTTCTGAAACTTCTGCCTCTTGAAAAATGAATCAATTTTCAGATTTCAAGCTCTGGGCGCTTGTTTCAATCCATACAAGGCTTTATGTAACTTGTATACCATCCCTTCCTGATTCTTATTCACAAATCCAGGAGGTTGTGACACATATACCTCTTCTTGTAATGGACCATTCAGAAATGTAGACTTCACATCCAGATGTATCAAAGGCCAATTTTTGTTTGCAGCTAAAGCAATCATCAGTCTATTTGTTTCATGTCTAACTACAGGCACAAACACCTCAATGTAATCTAGCCCAAGTTTATGAAGAAAACCTCTAGCCACTAGTCTCGCTTTGTGTTTTCCAATTGATCCATCTGGCTTAAGCTTCACCTTGAAAATCCATCTGATGTTGATGGCTTTCTTCTTTTCTGGAAGCTTTGTCAACTTCCAAGTTTTATTTATTTCAATAGCCTCAAGTTATTTCTTCATGTCATTCAACCATACTTTCTTCTTGAGAGCTTCTTCAGTACCCACTAGTTCAAAATCTACTAACACGGCACACTGAACGACTTCTCCTTCAGAATTTACTTCAGTGTCATGTAACATGTTAAAATCTGCAAACCTACTTGGTATTTGTCTAATTCTCAGTGGCCTCTGAACTTGTTCTGAAGCTTCTCCAGAACTTGGAACAGTGATAGCTTCTAGACCTTATCCAGAACTACTTCCTTCAAAATTACCACCTTAAGAGCTACTTCTGGAAGCTTGTCCTCCAGACCTTATGTCTTCAGAGTTTTCCCTTCCAGAAATATAATCACCACCAGATTCTGGATTATCATCAGAATTTGGATCAGAATCAGATCCACTATCAGAATCTCCCTGAGATTCTGACTCATCTTCAGAGTCTTCAGAATCAGATTTATCTTCTAACTCTGACTCGTCTTCAGAACTTTCTGAAGAATCTTCAGAAACTAACTCTGGTGTTGGCGCTTGATGCGTCCGCAAGTGCACGGAAATATCAAAGTAATATAAAAGATTGTCGAACCACAGAGACCAATGTCAACCTACTGCAATCTATCGCTACTTTGTAAAGTTAAGGCTAATGAATAATTGGATTTTTGGGGGAAATTAAGAACTAAAACTAAAAATGACTTTAGAAAATATAATAATAAAGAGATGCCGGAATATGATTTCCGCGTTCCTGAAGGACTTATAGAAAACGGGTACTAATAACGACTATAACTTAGTTCCGTAGAATATACTAACTTAAAGACTATGTCTCATGCTCTCGCGTTATTAACTAAATTCATACTTCCTAGTCCCAAGATTTTGCTCTCGCTCGCCCGGTAACCAAGAAATATATTTTGAAATCCAATTATATCTTAAATGCATCTAAAGCGCTCTCGTTGTATTTAGATTTGTTGCCTAATTTCCACTATCTGGTTCGACCCCCACGCTCTCGCAGTGTCGGCTCTAACCTTAATTGATTTCTCACTCTCGTGACAAAATCGTGTTAAATAATCTTTCACTCTCGTGACAAGGTTATTTAAATTAGACTTGGGAATTAAAACTAAAACATAATTCTAATCATAAATTTGCACCTATTATTTTCTACCGAGTCCATTGGCAACAACGGTCCTCATACACCGGACTCAAGAATGTTTAGTCGGACATGCTTTTAAGTGAAAATGAATTAAACATGCTTATTGCAAAAAGAAATAACATGGTGATTGATCTAAACAAACACATAATAATAATAATAATAATAATAATAATAATAATAATAATAATAATAATAATAATAATAATAATAATAATAATAATAATAATAATAATAATAATAATAATAATAATAATAATAATAATAATGATAATTAAAGTGAAAATGATAATAGTAATAAAGCAATAAAATGAAACCTGTAAATATACTGGAGACTGAAATTAATGCTAACACTGGAATTCAGAAAATTCCGACACGCTTGACAATCAGATACAAAATGGAATTAAAAGAAAAACAACACCTAAAACTAATGGTGTGGTAGTTCCTCGGTGTGAGAAACTACCACTTTTACATGGTGAATATTTCTGCCTAAAAACTAAAACAATAGAAATTGGAAATAATTGAAGAGAGAGAGCCCCCTTGTTGCAGTGATTGCTTTCCAATATATACTCCTCTGATAACTTATTTTGGTGAGAGAAAATAGGGTAGTGGCATCATGGAGAGAGTATTAAGGAATACTTGGTTGGAGAAAAAAAATAGGATGAAGTGGTTAGTTGGTTTCAGTCTTAGAGGACTTAGTGTATGGAGAAAAAGTAGGAGGAAGTGGTTTAATTATTGCAAATGAAGTTACGTGTTGAAAAAGTCTTGTGACGAGGGGCAAGGCATGTGACGTGGGGCACGCATGCATGTAGCATGCCGACCGTTAGGGGTAGGTGACAACCGTCACCCTTTCCTTTTTTGCTTCTGCCGACCGTCACAGTGGGTGTGACGAGCGTCACACCTTGCACACGTGTGCCACACGCTTTTTTATTTGTGGGCCTTGGGTTCTTCATGGGATTTTTCTTTTCTTTTATATTATATGCATTTTTACTTTACTTCTTCTCATTTTTACTCCTTTTCTCAAGCAAGCTTTGTAAATATTAAATTCCTGAAACACATTAAAATACCAGAATAATACCCACATAAAGCAACATAATTAAAATAAAATAGAGACATAATTTATGTTAATCAAGCCAAATATATTATACATTTTCGTGTTATCAAATACCTCCACACTTAAACTATTGCTTGTCCTCAAGCAATTGACCAACGTGGTAAAAGAAATGATAAGAGAGCTTTGAAACAAGGTCACACCACAACTCCTAATCATACGTGGCTGCTAGGCTAATGTTAGTTTGATAGG